GTCCCTCTGAGTACGAGTGTGGCAGGAATAGAGAGTACTGCGCGTACACTTGAACACTTGGCATATATATATATATATATATATATATGTGTGTGTGTGTGTGTGTGTGTGTGTGTGTAAGTTTTCTTATGTAAAGAAAAAAGGCTGTGGGAAGCGCAATATCAATGATTTGACCGCGGTAAAAGGTGAGGAACTGAGTTAATTATTGTTGATTCGTGGAAATAAAAAAACATTCATAGTTAATTAACAACCGTGCTGTAAATTACCATTTAGAGTTATTTATTATGTGTATCTTTAACTATTGTGTAACAATGAAAGGGGGGCTTAAGTTACATATTCTAACCTTTGCGACGAATAAAAATGTATAAATTTATTTATTTTTAATTACTAGACTGCATAATACTTTATTTTCATCTTTTTGCTTGCTTTTTAAACTTAATTTATTTTAGTTTACAGCTTTTTAGTATTGACTTGTTAGACACTTGGGGTTTTATTTAACAATATCTTAATCCACATTATTTTTATACATATACACAACCTGTACCTATATATTTGTAATTGTCTTTTAAAAACTTCATTTTCATATTCAACTCAATCGATTTGATAAAAAGAATTGTAATACATCAAAATTGACATAAAAGCCGCCATTTTAATTTTTTATGATTTTAATAATGCCTATAACACATCATCAAGACAAATGTGACGACATGTAATTTATTAAAATGGGTAAAGTCTTTGAGTAATTACGAGAAAACATAAGATACGACGTACATACATACATACGTACGTACAGGTTAAACACATAAGCCTCCGTTGAGCATTGCCGCAGTCGGGTAAAAATTAACATATAATTGAATTAAATATTTGTATTGTATTCAACCCTTTTCAACGCCCCACTGCTGGGCACGGACCTACTTTCAATACAAGGAAGAGCAGGCCATAACGCTGGCCAAGTCCGGGTTGGCGGACAACACATGTCTTTCGAAAACTTGCTAGGTTCTCTTAGACACGTACATTTCCTCAGGATGTTTTCCTTCACCTTAAGAAAAGTGGTATACATGTTGGAAATGATACGCATAAGAAAATATCAGAGGTGCAAACCCCAAATTCGAGCCCACCTCACTCACCTCACAAGCGTGCGCGTTACCACTAGGATACCAAGGATACCACTGCCCTTTGAATTGAGTACTCCTCCTTTTTTGGAATTGGTTAAAAGGTAAACTAAAACGTAACAAATAAAGTAATTTTGCATATATACCTAATAGTTGTTAGTTATATGAACAGTTATTGGCATGTATGTATGGTTCACTCGGTTTGGGTTAGCTATTACTAAGCATAACAATATTTACATTTAGTCATAGGCATTGATGTGATAAAATTATATTATTAAAATTTATGATATACTAGCAGAACCCGCGGCTTCGCTCGCGCTAAAACTAGAAAAAAATCTCTAAAAAGGTAGTTTCATACAATCTTTCATCCCCTATTTCACCCCCTTAAGGGATGATTCTATATCCTTCATAGGGTCTCAAAATATCTTCTTACCAAATTTCTTCTAAACCGGTTCAATAGATCCAGAGACTACCCCCTCACAAACTCACAAACTTTACCTCTGTATAAATATTAGTATAGATTTTGCGTGCATTTTACATAATATACCAAAACTCGTTATGTAATGAATGAAATAAATATTTAATAATAACACAAAAATTATATTACGTTTTAATTAATTATGTACTTTTTATCGCAGCAAAAACTGGTGTTATGAGAATTATTACTTCACTCAGCGCTATGCTGTCAATGTTCGCGGCGTAATAAATAACCAAGTAACCGACATATATACCAACTAGCATTGCCCGCGACTCCGCCCGCGTTTAGATAACCAAAAACCAAATTATTAGGTTTTACATAATAGTATACTCTTAATTACAGTTTTTGTATTTTTTATCAGAAATGAGATATTTTTGCGCGGTTAAAAGTATCCTATATGTTGACCTGGATAATCAGCTATGACCATACCAAATTTCATCAAAATTCGTCTAGTAGTTTTTCTGCTATGAATAGTAGGCAGTGATAGCCCAGTGGTAATGCGCTCGCTTGGGAACAAGTGAAGTGGGTTCAAATCCCTGGTCTCACACCTGTTATTTACATATTCGAGTCATTTTTAACGTGATTATCACTTGTCTTACGGTGAAGGAATATATCATTAGGAAACCTGCATGTCTGAGAGAACCTAGCATGTTTTCGAAAGACATTTGAAGTCCGCCAATCCGTACTTGGCCAGCGTGGTGAACTATGGCCTAACCCCCTCTTATTCAAGGGAGGCCCGTGCCCAGCAGTGGGACGTTAAAACGGACTGTATACTATTGTAGTAAGTAGTATTAAACAACGATTGCTTAATTGATCTCTGTAAAGCATTCGAAACGTCGGAAACCAAAAATTAAAATAAATCCGCAAAATGATCTGAAAGAATAGTTTTATTTAAAACATTATTTATTTTAAAATATTACTAGCATTGAACTTGGCTTCGCCCGCGTTCAGATGACCAAAAACCAGATTCTTAGGTTTTACATATTAGTATACTCTTACATTGCGGGTTTTGTATTTTTTCTCAGAGATAAGACATTTTCCCGCGGTAAAAAGTATTCTATATGTTGACGCGGATAACCAGCTATCACCATACCGAATTTCATCAAAATTCCTGAAGTGGTTTGTCTGTGATGCGGTAACAGATAGACAGACAGACAAAAATTCTAAAAACTATAGATTCGGCCTCTTTATCGATAATAATGCCTATTTCAATAAGATTTTCGGCTTAGTTAGAATTTTATTATATGTATAGATTATAAATAAATGAAAACATACGCAGGCAAAATACCTTTCACGACCTGTGACGTGTTGTGTTCGCATTATACATATTATATAACATTGCAATGTGTGGACTGCAAGCCCTTTTACTTTCACTCGCGTGTATTGAAGAATCTGGTTTGCATAATTTTTATGATTGTTAATGCGTTTACTGTGTTATCGACTGTAGTAGATGTTCAACTTTAAAGTCAAATCATTCGTCCAACTGCTTTCGAGTGATGCACTTTCTAGTCAGTCTAGTCATTTTGAACTTCTTATTTTTTTATATATATTTGCTTTTATCTTCGCCAATTGTGAACTGCTTTCCATATTCTTTTTTCTTGAAAAGATCATAGGTCAAGATCTTATGTAGATTTATTTTAAAGATAAAATCCACTATAAGGGTGGAATAAATAAAAATAATTACTTTTATAAAAAAATTGTTGTCACTAACTTTTCAGTTAAAAAATAATTTTCATAGATACAAATCTTAAAACTTTATGTTGAAACTCGCACGATATATCTCCTGATTCCACACACCTATATAAGGTGTAGACTTAATACATAAATAAATACACCGCAAATTAAGTGCTTATCGATGTTCTAGTACCTGCAGGGTGGGAAGGTCCCATGACCGTTGCCGCGTCATTGTGCATGAGCTTATCTCATATTGTTACCATTGTAACAAAGCGAGCTTTGCAAAAGGTGTATGTGCAAACTGATTCTCACGTCCAAATTAGGCCACTCAATACACAGATAATTTTATAAGCAACTACCGACTCACCCTCGCCCCGCTCAGGTTCGTCCCTGATTACGTTTTAAAGTTTAGTAAAAATTTCTCAGACATGAGATATTTTCCCGCAGTAAAAAGTATCTTATATGTTGACCCGGATAACCAGCTATCATCATACCAAATTTCATCAAAACTCCTCCAGTAGTTTTTCCGTGATGCGTGATCCTTCCGAATTAATTTAAGCAACATTTGACTCGTATTCATTGAGCTCATGACCTTTCCTCAGATAGGCAGTCAAGCACATAGCCACGATGCGATTGCACCACGATGGATATCTATATACATATACTAGCGACTCACCCTCGCTTCGCTCTGGTTCGCCCCTAGTTACTTAAAAAATGGGGGGGGGGGAGGATAACAGGGTGAAAAATACTTTACGATCTATTTTAATACCTACCAAATATATATAAACAATCATTAAAATCGGTCGAGCCGTTTCGGAGGAGTATGACCACAAACATCGTGATACGAGATATTATATGACAAAGCACATCGTCTATATATGTACGTAGCCAAAGACGAAACAGCTCAGTACCATTTTCTCTTCTATTTGTCAAGCGATTTTCTTTTTTTTTATTGAGTAACTATCGACGAGCTTCAGTGTTATCGATAAAAAAATGTTTAGGAAACAGTTTTTTTTAATGATACATAGGTAAATTTTATTCCAAAAGAATCTAATGATACATAGGTAAATTTTATTCCAAAAAATAAAATGGACTGAATGCATTTCAAGTATTTATTTGTGACTTCTTTTAAATATTCAAAATTTTACTCCAAAAATATTATAATTTCTTTTATAAAAAATAAATTTTCTTTGATTGCTGGAGGTTAGAGGAAGAGTTTTTATGATTTTTTAAAAAGCCGAAACGAAGCGAAGCGTGTATTTATTACTATAGACTTAGCCTCGCTTTGCTCTGGCTCGTCCCTGGGTACGATTTGAATAGATATTTTTATTTATTATATATTAATTTTATATTAATTATATATGACATATAGTTATTGTGATCGTACTTTAACACAATGTCTCGACTAAAACTCGTCATTTATAATTTTTTTTATAATTTACACATTGTAATTACTTATTAACATGAATATATTCATATTCTTATCTTTTCAACATCTAATACAAACTCAACTACAGAATAGAGCAACTATAAAATTGGATGTACTATAAAAACATGTAATAACATAACATCTGTGTACATGTTATGCTTAATGTTTGTTGGATTCTAACTTAGTCAAATTAACAAGTCGAGTCACGCGAAAATCGACAATAGAAGTAGTTGCTTAGTAAGTGCCTTATTCTGATTCGTCATTATGAGACAAACATCGTGATTGTGAAGTGATATCAAGTGCAAAAATGCCGGACACACTGTCGTTATCAACTAGTCTGAGCTTGGGCCTGCTCGCTGGAATTGTATCTGGAGTGTGCTTCATCTTCGCGAATGGATTGACGAGACCAAGGTATTTAATCTATTTATTTTTACTATATACCATCTCATTATATATTCTATGTGTACTGGATTATAATTAAGAATTAATTTATATATGTGTATATATATATATATATATATATATATATATATATATATATGTGTGTGTGTGTGTACTGGTTTTCCCTCGCAGTTTCGCTCACTCCGCTGGTGTGGCTCTCACTAGTGAAAGAATCTTAGGAGTTGAATAGTTTCAAAGATTTGTATATTAAAAAAATCGGATAAGTGTGAATCTGACTCGCAGAGCGCGGGTTCCGTAGCATGAAACATTAAAATAAGTTTATAATCGTAAAAAAATGTTATGTAACAACAAATCTACGGTTTTCGTATTTCTCTCTGTACTTGTGCTATAAGACATTGATTTTAGGTCAACGAGAAGTGCCCTATAGGTTTTGATTCCCTTGCAAGTGTCAAAATATGCGTCATAAAAGGCCGTAAGTTTTTGCGTTGATTTAGAAGTTTGATTTTATCACAGCTCTAAGCTCGGGCAGAGAGAAAGGCAAAATTTTTGTTCTCCAAATATATTAATTTTCGATTTTTTTACAACCAAACTAACTCGTGTAACTATCAAACTGGCGACCTACGTACTATCGGCTGCTAACAAAAAATATCATCACTGGTTCGACAGATGATCTCTGACTTCTAAATCGTGTAATTCAAATGAGCGTTCATATTTCTGTATATCGTATATTAACTTTCGCGCGGATGTAATTTGACACGCTGTTCTTAGACTGTATGTATGTTACATTTACTAATGCATGACTAACATTCGTTACTGATTTCACTAATAAGTCAAGTATGGTAAGGTTTAAATTTTTACAGATAATTAATATGATATGACGGTTGTTAGCATACAAAATTATAAAAAAAGCAAAAGGTAAGGAATTTAGAGGATTCCCCGTACAAGAAAGCTATTTTGTCTATTTTGTTGTAAAAATATACTAACTCTTAAATATAACAATTTGTTAAATAACGGGTCAAGCGCTTTGTTGGCTAACGCGCTAGGGGAATGAACCAATGCTCCTCGTATTTCTTTGATAGCAAAGTGCCCCGTAAGAGCAGCACCGTGATTCTTGTGGCCTACCTTGGCAGGCAGCCGTCGGGGTGGCGTGGTTGACTGTATAATCGATCCTGCGACGCCCTTTTAAGACGAGAGAAGAGAAGGTTTTACTGCGTAGTACTACAGACTATTGTGGCCGGCAGGACCCGAATTTAACCTTATCGTCGCCCCTGGGCATAGTAAAATATGCCGCCCTATTATCAAAATTTTGCATAAAATGGGTAAAGTTTTGATAAAATTTATTTTTTTGAAAAATACAAAAAAAAGTTATAAATGATTAAAAAAATTTCGAAAAATGCACCAGTTATTTTTTTAATGAATTATTTTTTGAAAAATAAAGAAAGCGTTTTTGACTACGCGAAGAGATTTTTTTTCCCACACTCCGAATTTTACCGCCCCTAAAAATTTGCCGCCCTGGGCAATAGCCCCGAGTACTCCTAGTGTAAAAAATACAAAATAATCATCCTAATACAAAATGAAAATAAAATTTGTCAATAAGATTATAAAATCTTATTGATACTTACCATAATGGTAAGTATGTATGTAATAATTTGCGGTGGATTATCAACATCAAACGTTGATAATATTTTAACCTTTACTTAATTGGTTTTGTATATCTTTTTTATTATTAAGGTTTAAACCACACAAAAGAACCACACAAGATATTTTTACGCATATTGGTTCCAGTATTTATATGACATAAACATTTCAAACTAAATTATAGACTTATATTCGTATTGCTGGAAACGATGATTTTTATTTATATAATATTTTTTCATAACATAACATAGATAAAATTTATTATAGTTCAAAATTTATTTAGTTTTTGTATCTTTCAATTTAAAGCCTATTAATTATTCTGTATCGTAAACATTCGAGACGACACGTTTGGTTCAGTTTGTAGTGACCCTACTTGCTGTGTCAGCGGTCACGGGTTCGAGTCCCGCTGAGGGCATTCATTTGTGTGATGAGCACGAATGTTTGTACTCCAGTCATGGGTGTTTATATTTATAATATGTATGTATTTAAGAGTTATGTATGTGTAGTGTATCAACTATCTGGTATCCATAACACGAGCTTTGTAACTTACCATGGAACTAGATGTTGCTGTGTGTTAATGTCCCAACATATTTATTTATTATTCAAATAAGTAAACTTTGCAAATAGTATTTTACATTGTAAGCTTTAAGTAAACAATAAAATGTTGTGTTTAATCTCTATATTTTATTATTTATTTGCAATAAGTTCCTAATGAGTTGATCCATGACATACTTAGCACAAAATATGTGGTCACAGGCAGTTTAACTGATTTTATCTTTATACTCGCTCTAGCCTGTGATTTCACCCGCCTGTATATTTCTTATTTTAGTTGTCGACTGCCATATTAAGTATTGATGAATAAAATTGATTGTCCTCAACTCCTAAAATAGACATTGAAAGAGAGCGTAGGGCGCTGTCTGTTCGCTGTAATATGTTGATCCACAGATTTGCGCGCTGTAGTAAACAAGTCAAACTAACACTTTTCAAAGCCTACTGTCAATCGTTCTACACGTGCGGTCTGTGGGTCGATTTCACGCAGCGAGCATACAGCGCTCTACGTGTCCAATACAACAACGCGTTCAGGATGTTGTTCGGTCTGCCGCGCTTCTGTAGCGCGTCGTCAATGTTTGCCAAGGCGCGTACCGACTGCTTTCACGCGATCATAAGAAAAAGGTGCGCTTCGCTGTGGGCGCGAGTAAGCGGGGCATCGAACACCATCCTGAGTGCCTACTCCCCGTTGTTTTGTCGCTGTACAGCTTCATGCTCCCGTTGCTCTTTAGCACAGTCTCCTCGGAAGCATTATTTTTATTTGTTTAGTAGGTATATTATATATTACACAATAAGTTTTACTAACATAGTTGTAAGTTTTTAAATGTAACTAACAAGTGGACTGAGTCTTAAATAAAAATATTATTATTATTATTAAAATCTATGCCGAGTTCAAAGCCCTGCAAAACAGTATTTCACGTATTATAGGTACCACGATTGTCAAGAGAATTTAACATTGTTTGAGGGGAAGTGGATGTTTTTAATTTTGGCGACAACAGTTTTTGGCAACAACAAAGTTTAAAAAAAAGGTTATGTTTTTTTTGTTTTATTTGAGTTTTCTTTTAGATTTTCTTTTTTGTTATTAATTATATCAATAGTATGTTATTTTTGTTATTAATTATAATAGATCTATTATATAAGCCTATGGTGCATGTTGTGACACCTTCAAATGTTAAATAAACTTTTTTCTATATTTTGTGTTAAGTTTTTAAATAAGATAATATAATATTTTAACAATGTGTATCCTGTAAATAATAAAATAAATATATAAATTAGCTTGGTGGCAAGCATGTATGGCAGCAGATTCGAAAGTCTTTGAGTACGAGTCCCGGGTTGTGCAAAGTGTAGAATTATTGGGTAATAAATTTATCCAGAATTTCCGAAGAAACCGTGGGTCCTGTACTTTATCTTCATTAAAGTATGAGAATAAAAGAAATTGAGTGTGCACTTGTGTTTACACGCATAGTTGTGCGCTTTAATATCTCTTGCACACTGGCTGGTCTCATTGAGATTGACCGCTGTAACTGACATCGGTCAGGAGATCCATTGTTAATTATTCTATTATAGCCTATTTATATAATTCCAGCTTTGTATAGGACATGTTGAAAGAATTCCTGTATATATAATGTACTCTGTGGAACTGACCAAATTATGTTAAGCTTCGGTTAATAGAAATAAAATGTAGACAATAATATCTATTGTCTACATTTTATTTATACATACTAGCAATTCACCCTCGCTCCGCTCGGGTACGTCCGTAGGTACATTTTAACGGTTAGTATATAGATTTCTCAGAGATGAGATATTTTCCCGCAGTAAAAAGTATCCTATATGTTCTTTGTAAACAAATAAATCTTAAAGTTTTATGGTTCTCATGACGATACTTTATGGTGTTGAGTTCGAGAATTGTGACTTTACCATATTATGTATTTATATATGTATTTATAGTTACTAGAATAAGTAAACTTGTTACTTATCTTTTTGTACTAAATATACAACATTTTATCCCCATTTTCACCGCCTTAAGCATGATTTCCGGCATAAAAACTATCCTATGTCCCGGGGTCTCAAACTATCTTCTTACTAAATTTTACCTAAATCGGTTCGGTAGTTTCGGAGCATATTCAGTACAAATAATCAAACAAACAAACAAACAAACAAACAAACACAAAAAACAAACAAAAAAAGTCATTCCTCTTTATAATATTAGTATAGTAGAATATAGTGTAGTATTATATGATCTGTGGTATAGATAAATGTCGGTATACACAATGTACTTGTGATTTTATATCTTTGCTATACTTTTTCAGACTACAACTGAAGTTCAGGATGGAGATAGCTTATATTGTGGTTTAACTCGTAGGCTTTTTTCTCGATGTAGGTACACTAGCGGGGTTGCGGGTCCAAACTAGTAATATTATATAAATAAAAATAAGATTATACTTATATTCTAATTTTTATAACTAATATAATTTTTATGTAAAAGAAAAACATTTGGCGTGAGCAAAATATTTCTAAAGCAGCACAGGTAATAAGAAATTATTTTGGTTCAACCTGAAACATATCAATAAATAGATGGCACCATCAAAACTATACATCATTTTAACAACAATAATTACTAATTAATTATCTGTGGACTCCTATCAAAATTAGTGTGTGTAACATATCTATATAAAAACACTGTTTCATTTTTTTTATTGATAACATTAAAACTCGTCCAATACCTACTAAACAAAAAAAGGCATACAGAGGAAAAGAAAAGGCACTGAACGTTTTTGCCTATTTATAATATACAACATACATACATTATTATTATATGTACA